TGCCACAGGTGCTCAGGGAGGCGGTCAGGAAGCTGCTCCAGCCCGGCTGGTGCCCGTCGGCCGGGGAACCAGGAGGCCAGGGTTCGGTTCCCGGTCAGGGCACAGGCCCGGGTGGTGGGCTCCATCCCCAGTGTGGGGCGTGCAGGAGGCAGCCGGTCCATGATGCTCTCTCATCGTGGATGTTTCTCTCTCCTTCTCCCTTCCTCTCCGAAATCAATTAAAAAATATACATTAAAAGAGAAAAAAAAGAAGAAGAAAGCAACTCGCTTCTTAGGTCTCCAGCAACCCTGCTCCTAAGGGTCAGGAAGCCGCCGCCGTTTCGCACTCACAGGCTCGCACCCTGGCCACCGCCCTCGCTGACCAGGAGGCCGCGGGCCTCCGTCTGGGAGTCTCTGGCGAGCGGCGGTGCCAGTGGCTGGCGCGTGAGACCGCTGTCTTGTTTCCATTGTCTTTATCTCGGAGTTTCCGTCTGTGTGTGGCGAGCGGTCCCGCCTTCCTGTGTGTGATGCACAGAGAGGTGCTTTTAAAATAAACATGTTTAAGTAAAACCAACGAGCCCGTTTTAAAAGGATGCGTTGCGTTCCGTTGAAAATAGCACAGGAATATCCCAGAGGGGGCGGGAAAACAACCGCGATGGAGATACGATACAGCAAAGACCAACGTGGAGGCGACCCAGCCCTCCTTTCTGGTCTTCTATCCACCTGGGGGCCAGCGGCACACACAGTAGGTCTGCAGTTCCAGCTGCTGGAAATACAGGGGAAGGTGAGCCAGAGGCGGCAGGAAAGGGAGGCGTGGCTCCAGGTGAGCTCACCGTTGGGGGGCGGGGAGGGAGGGGTGGAGGTCTCTCACCACCTCTCGCTGACCAATTTCTTAAACCTGCTTCACTCGCCGCTGGCCTAGAGCTCCACACAGCCCTCCCAGCCCCACAGCTGTACCCACGGCGGACACTCCCGACCACGCGTCAAACTCTCCCGCAACACCGGGCCCCGTGACCGCCAGGGGGACGCGAATGTTAACAGCTGAGAATGTTTTTTTTGTTTGTTTGTTTGTTGTATATATTTTATTGATTTTTTACAGAGAGGAAGGGAGAGGGATAGAGAGTTAGAAACATCGATGAGAGAGAAACACTGAAGAGCTGAGAATGTTTTAATGCACCGGTTGGGGCATTCTTCTTCTATTTTTTTCCTTTAATTCGTTGGGTGACCCTGGTTAACAATTAGACGGGTGTCAGGTGCACGGCCTCTGTGCACTGTGCTGTGCGTTCACCTGCAACAACCTTTTATGGACCAACAACCAGGGGTGGGGGAGCTGTCCTTGGTCCTGACGTTACACGTGTGACCCAGGCTGCTCTGAGGGCCAGGAACGGTGGATAAACAATCACACACAAGGCCCAGCTGGCGTGGCTCAGTGGTTGAGCATCGACCTAGGAACCAGGAGGTCACGTTCGATGCCCGGTCAGGGCACAGGCCTGGGTTGGAGGCTCCATCCCCAGTGGGGGGCGTGCAGGAGGCAGCTGATCAGTGATTCTCTCTCATCATTGATGTTTCTATCTCTCTCTCTCCCTTCCCCTTCTTCTCTGAGATCAATAAAAAATACATTTAAGCCCTGGCCGGTTTTGCTCTGTGGATAGAGCGTCGGCCTGTGGACTGAAGGGTCTCGGGTTCTTCAATTCTGAAGGACACATAGCTTGGTTGTGGGCTCGATCCCTGGCCCTGGTCAGGGCACAGGCCCGGGTTGCGGGCTCGGTCCCCAGTAGGGGGCGTGCAGG